CTCAGAGGCGACAGGTTTTTTTTATGCTGGGCGCAATCGTGTGTGTGTGTGTATATATATATATATATATATATATATATATATATATATATATATAATTTTGACCCATTTTATATATATACCCATTTTGACCCATTCGAATAAAGGGATTCGTGTCCCTTCAAGGCGTGGACAATCATGGCTCTCCACAATTTCCTATCCGTAGTAGCCCTTATTAAGTTTGTCGTCACTAATTTAAACTTTCAGCTGTCTATAAAGTAACAGGATGTAGACAATGGAATTTATGATAGTATTTTGAAATAAGGAGATTTTCTCTGTTATCGTCTAACGTGGTCTTGGGAAATGTGTTTATATTTACTTAAATGAGATTAAATGACAAAGATCAATTCTTCGCCCATCTGGAGTAAACATACTTTAGCCTCTTTACTTACCAAATATCTACCGTATTTGGATACTTCTCAGATTGTGGGAGATGTCATAAATGGAATAACGAACTGACACTATCTATGCGGCACCCCTTGTAGATTTGACATCGATTTGTTAAACCTATATTCGAACACACATTTACGGGCAGGGATATTTACGCCTTCGTATACGGAATTATGAAACGAGAGCAAGCTTTTATACAAGGATTCATTCGCTAGCCAGGTCCTAGGAACATTCGCCGTAAACATTTTTGCCGTAATAAAACTCGTCACATGAATTTTTGCCGTAGAAACTTTGCCGTATATGATTTTTGCCGTAAAACGATTTCGCCGCGATTTTTTTAATGTGCGAAGTACCTTGTTATCAAGTATACTAGCAACCAACAACGGCGTAGAAGGCTCCCACAATGCAGTACAAAGCTTCATGACTAACATGCGTGGAAACTAATTGCGTATTTGAAAAAAAAGAAGATATATTAGCAAAAAAGAAAAAAATGTAATTTAGATCGAGGAGATGAAGTACAAATGAAGAAAATATATATTAAAATCATTGCAAGACTTCATCGGAAAATGCTTCATTATAGTCCAACGCAATAAAACACACATTATTTATGAAGTATTGCTTGGAATTTGCACATATTTTAAGCATTTTAACAGGAGATTGAACAAAGAAAATGAAGAACTCTTAGTCACTGAAAAAAGAATGGAATCAATTATCAAACTTATACTTTGAGAAATTTTTTTAATGAATTTAAAAAAGAATGTATACTGAAGTATTCAAAGCTAAAGGAAGATATCTTGATGAGAGCAAAATTTAATCATAAGATGTATTCTTTCTTTTTTCCATAATAAAATATCTAATTAAAAATCATGTCTCACTTTTTTTTTTTAACTATATATAATAATTTTCTCTTTTTTAAAGTACAAAACTATTTCGGGGGTCAGTTTAATAAATTACCTTGGGTGGACTCAAGCTTTTCAACTGTATTGATAATGCATTGTAAATCCTCATGTGGCTAGCGCGTATTCGGAACATTCACCGTAAACATTTTTGCCGTATGAAAACCTGGCTCAGGAATTTTCGTCGTATTGAATTTTTGCCGTAAGACAATTTCGCAGCATTTTTTTTTCGATACCCTTATCTTGAATGTCCCTTTTGAATTAATGTTCAATAAGTATAAGTTTGATAATTGATACCATTCTTTTTTCAGTGACTCGAACAGTTCTTCATTTTCTTTTTTCAATCTCTTGTCACGTTCATCCTATGTTATTCTGGGGGTGACTTCAAACTTTTCAAATGTAGTATATATATATATATATATATATATATATATATATATATATATATATATGTGTGTGTGTGTGTGTGTGTGTGTGTGTACGTACATACCCAACTGATAGCCTAAATCTTAAGAGCAATGAAAAAAAAAGAAAAATATACGTTTTGCATTATTAGACGCAAATACTTATTTGAATAGAGCTTCAAAAGATGGGAATAAAAAAGGAAAAATAACATTAAAAAAAATTTTAGCATTTAATAGAGAAAATTTGAATACTTGGAAATTAGGATAAATATTCACATGCCAAAAAGACCATGCCAAAAAGACCACGCCCAAAAGACCACGCCAAAAAGACCACGCCCAAAAGACCATGCCAAAAAGACCTTGCCAAAAAGAAAAGTAGGAAATGCCCAACAAAACGTCTCAGTAGTGAGTTTCACGGCCATCATTGTGAATAACTTCAAAAATTCACTTTGGCATGGTCGATATTAGTGTATGCAGAAATCTGCCTAGAATGTTATTATAAGTAGTGAAGATGGCTTCACAAAGATCATGCCCTGTTTGGAATTGACGCCCATTTCCATAGACTTCCTTTGTCATCCGCCCCCAAACATTTTCAATGAGATTCAGGCCATGTGAACATGCAGGGTGGTTCAAAAGTATCACACTATTCGCCATGAAAATGTCTTGCGGGCATTATGGATTGCAGTGTTGCCTTGCTGTAAGGTCCGGTCATTTCCACACAAAGAAGGTCTTATAGTGGTAGATGTTGGCTGTGTTTGAACACAAATGATTAAATTTTAAGCTTCGTTTAATTATGGTCTTAAACTTTTGACCAATTAGCGTTTAGCCTAAATTACCAGTGTTCAAATTTTCCATATTAAATGCTAAAAAAGCTTTTAATTTTTCTTTTTTCTTTTCTTATTTTCATTTTTCGAATCTTTACTCAAATAAGTGCTTGAGTCCAACAAAACAAAATGTATATTTTTTTCTTTATTTTCATTGTTCTTAAGATTTTGATCATTAGTGTATGTCAGGTTAGAATGAATGTGGTGAAAATGTTGAAAAAAATTTATTGAAGTATTGTCCTCTTTATGTTGTTTAGTAATGCTAGTATAAGTTATTTATATCTTATTTCAGATTATCAGAATATTAGTCATAATATAGTTCGGAACCTGCACCAATGTACACACTAATTAAAGAACTTTACTTTGAGTTTCATAAATGTGTACAACAGCAAAATTAACTGAAAGAAGTGGCAGGAGGTCGTTTTCCCGCTTCTAAAGTGGGAATTTTAGTCCAGAGGACGAGCCAAGTCACAAAAAGACTCGATGCAGATGAATTTGGAAGCTGTTGTTACAGCAATTACTGCTCCTACGGCTCGGTAATTCAGCGGGAAATGTTAGTAATACGACATTTCTACACGAATCAAAAAGAATTCAGTGGTTGGAAAAAGGTTTCTGCATGATCTGTCTCCAGAGAATCGCCAAGCACGTATCAATTGTTGTGCGTCATTAGACGACAACTTCAAGTGCCCTTTTGGATAAGAAATGCATCCTTTGCCATAATGTCTTCAGTGGATTAGTCGAGGGAATAAAATTGCTCAGCAATCGAGAGGAGAACTTCGTCCAAAGAAGATCATGTTGAGTGTATGGTGGAATATTCAAAGAATCATCCATTATGAACTGTCAGACAAAAATCAAAACAATCAACGCCAACAATCTACTGCCAACAACTTCGTCGTTTGAAAGTAGCTTTGGACAGAAAATGTTCCTCCTTAGTCAACAGAAAGAGAGTAAGCCTCTATCACCATAATGTACGATTGACTAAAGATCTCTTAGAGGAACACGATTGGGAAAATTGCTCCATCTTCCATCTTCTCCCGACCATTCTTCTTTTGCATATAACTTGTTTAGCGGTTTGCATAATCATTTGGATGGCATAAGGTTGAGAACTGGTTGAACATGAGTTGGTCTTGTATTTTACATCAAAACCTAAAGAATTTTACAAACGTGGCATCTATAAACTTGTTGACAGATGGAATGAGGCTCTTGGAGGCAATTGAAGTAGAGTAGAAATGGAAGGTCTCATTAGATAATGGAGGACTTCCACAGCTCGACACTGGAGGACTAAATTAACTCCTCCGGTGTTATATAAACGTTTTAATAAGCCAGGGGCCGAGTGTGTTTTTGTATTTGTGTCTCATTGGTACGAGAATAAAGTCATCCAGAATTACTACTACCATTTTCGTTGTGGTTATTTTATATCGATGATTAACTATTTCGATAAGCCTTAGTATTTTCCTTTGATAAAAGCGGGTAAAATGTGCATTCCAACCTGATATACATGCATCAATATACAGACACACACACGCATATAGACGCACAAATATATCGCATGTCAATCAAGTGTATAGTTACAAATAGCATTAACGTTATCAATAAGAAATGTTATTTGTCCAACTCAAATAAAGACATTTGAAAGACATCCGTTTGATAAAGAAGCTGTGATTGTAAATAAAATCAATCTGACACTGATCATCAATGAGAAAAATCAATTATTTTCGTGCTTAAAAGCAAACCTATCGCTGTCAACGTTCTCCTGAACTGCAACAAGAGATACTTAACAAGTTAAAATGCATGAGAAAGTATAAACCCTTGAATCCCAATATGAATTCAGTGTTTGGTTGTTTGGTTGGCTGACTATTTTCTTGTGTCTTATTCGTTGAAAAATACAAATAAAATGCTTTTATTTCAAACTGAAAGCAGTTAGACGCTAACATTCAATCTGGCACATAAAGAACTAGCTTAGAGTTATCAATCAATCCTTTTGTACTTGTTTAAACACTGATAGAATATTTGTCCATCAACTACATAGCAAAGATATCAACTACACTCAACCTTATCGACAAACGGAGTAACGTGTCATTTTAGATAGGGGTCGCTGAGCAAGACGTGTTTGTCCTTGGCTGCATTATTCGACCTTTGTGATTCTTAATAATAATATTGGAATTAAAAATGATTTTCATATTCCTTCCAAATGGTAAAATTGAAAATATAAAAACAGCAGTTGTCTTCTGCTGATCCATTTTTTTTTACTTTTTTTATATTGTCTTTGTCCAGATTTTATTCAATTTTATTGTTTAAATTTCTTTCTTTTCTTAATATTATTTCCTTCTTTTATTCCGTCTTTGTATTCAGCGATTTCCTTTTCTTTCTGCCATTCTTTCTTTCTTTTTTAATTATCTATTCTTTCCATTTTACTTTACGTTTTCTTTCTTCCTTATTCCAAGCAGATGTTGTTCCCATTTATATTTCTTTCTTTCTTTCTTTCTTTCTTTCTTTCTTTCTTTCTTTCTTTCTTTCTACCTTACTTTTTTATTTTTTCCATCTTTCATTCTTTCTTTCTTTCATTCTATCTTTCTTTTTTATTTTTTTCTATGTTTCATTTTTTCTATCTTTCTTTTTATTTTTCTATCTTTCATTCTTTCTTTCTATCTTTCTTTTTTATTTTTTCCATTTTTTATTCTTTCTTTCTTTCTTTTTTTATTTTTTCTCTCTTTCATTATTTCTTCCTTTCGTTTTTATTTTTCTATCCTTCATCATTTCTTTCTTTTTTTAATTTTTTCTATCTTTCATTCATTCTTTCTTTCTTTTTTCTATCTTTCATTCTTGCTTACTTGCTCGTTTGCTTTCTTTCGTTTTTTCCTATAGCATTATTTCCTTTCACTCGTCCCATCTTTTTAATTATTTATTCTTTCCTCTTTAACTTAATTTTTATTTTAAAATTTTTACCGTAATTCTTCCTTGCTGCAAGCCTATATTATTTTCATTCCAATGATTTTTTCTTTTCTTTCTTTGGTGTTGGTTGACGGAATCAATTCCACAACAATGTCGCATTCTTCTCTCTCGACCTGGTGATCGCTACTTGGTTTGTTCGGAGGTAAAATGAAAACTTCAACAAATAGAAGTTTGAATTTATCTATTTTATTAAACACGTCGACGTATACATTTTTTACTTGCCAGTGGGGTCGCTCTATCACCCCACTGTAGAGCAGGGCTCCCCGAGACACGAAATAGCCACGTCTGCGGTGTATGAGGTGTAAAAACTTAACTCACTGAAAACACTTTCTAACTCTAAAATTTCAACGTACGGCTCAGCCAATCAAAATCGACATCCCTATTTTGTCTACCATCTGACCTTAAGGGTCAGCCTCAGAAGGTCTGAGCCAAAATACACTGCCACTAAAAAAAATAATAGTCTGAAACTATTATTTAACATTCCTTACCTAACTATAAAAAATAATTTATGAATTTTATTTCAACTATTATATTAAACATTTATATATTCTTTCTTTGTTTTAAACATTTTTAACATCCTTTCTTTCTTTTTGTAAGATTCTTTTTTCTTCTTTTTTAACATTCTTTCTTTCTTTCTTTCTTTAATATTTTTCTTTTTTTTAGTTTCCTTTCTTTACTTCGCATTTATACTTTCTTTCTTACTTACTCTCTTTCTTTATTTCTTTCTTTTCTTCTTTCACGAACAATTTATTTCGCCTTCATTCAATATTGTTTCTTCCTTTTTTTTTGTAATATTCCTTCTTTCTTTCTGATGTTATTCTTTCTTTTTGTAACAGTATTTCTTTGTCTTTCATATTATTTCTTCCTTTCTTTATTTTTCTTTCTTTCTTTCTTTCTTTCTTTCTTTCTTATACTCTCCTCGATGACATTAGCTTTTCACGTGTCAAATTTTCTTTCTTTTCGTAAGATTCTTTTTTCTTCCTTTTTAACATTCTTTCTTTCTTTCATTCTTTAATATTTTTCCTTTTTTTAATTTACTTTCTTTTGCATTCACTACTTTTTCTTTTTCTTTCTTTCTTTGTTTTCTTCCTTCCTTCCTTTCTTTCATTAACAATTTATTTCGCCTTCCTTCTCCATTGTTTCTTCCTTTCCTTTTGTAATATTACTTCTTCCTTCCTTTCTTTCGTTATTCTTTCTTTTTTGCAACAATATTTCTTTCTATTTTATACTGTCCTCGATGATAGCGATTTTTCCACGTGTCAAATGTTATCAATAAAATCAGAATACACGGTTGATTAAAACCATAAAAATAAAATAGCGACACAAAGATTTGTCTCTGTCTGTTCGATTATTATTTTCTTTTCAGTGTGCATAAAAAGATTCCCCAGAATGCCTGAGAAAAAAACAAACAAACCCCAGTTTTAAAGACGCAGCCAAGTGAAGAAAGATCATCTCTTTTGCGCAAGCGCAGATTGATGTTTTCACTTTGTAGAACAAGCGAAACATCCGTCTCAATCAGAATAGAAACTGTTTTGATTGTCTCAGATATGCGTTACAGACTGAGATAGTATATATATATATATATATATATATATATATATATATATATATATATATATATATATATATATATATATATATATATATATATATATACATATACATATATATATATATATATATATATATATATATATATACTATATATATATATATATATATATATATATATATATATATATATATATATATATATATACATATATATATATATATATATATATATATATATATATATATATATATATATATATATATATATATATATATATATATATATATATATATATATATATATATATATATATATGAGGGTCATTCAATAAATAAGTTGAATTTTTCGGTATAAGGACTTCTAATACAGATAGAAGCTTACTTTTTTTTCTTTTTTGTTTTACTTCTTTTTCACATGGATCTAATTTCTTTTGCAGATTAAAAAAAGTTTTGCCGATAAAGAAAGATGGCCGACCAAGAAGCATGCTCCAGGATTGAACAGCGGTCAGTTATGAATTTTTTGCTTGCTGAAGGGTGCAAACCAGTTGAAATTCATAAGAGAATGTCAATCTGTATGGTGCCACATGTTTCAGCCAAAAAAATGTCTACAAGTGGGCTAAATTGTTTAAAGAAGGACGGAGCTGGGAGGCCTACAGAAGTGAGGTCTCCTGAGGTGATCGAATCAGTCAATGACCTCACCCGGTCTGACAGAAGAACTACTGTTAACTGCTGAGGCAGGTCAAGAAAGACATAAAGAACAAACGCAGGAGTCATCAGTCAGAAGGAGTCATCTTGCATCATGACAACGCAAGGCATCTCACAGCAGCCCAAACGGTGCAGACCATCAACGAGATGGGCTGGGAACTGCTCCCTCACCCCCTTACAGCTCAGACTTTGCCCCTTCAGACTTTCACCTGTTTGGTCGCTTGAAAGCGTTCACGAGAGGCACGCAGTTTAAAAGTGACGATGAAGTCAAAAGTATTGTGAGCGACTGGCTGAGACATCAGTCCAAAGATTTTTACGCTGAGGGAATACGGGAGATTGTGCACAGATGGGAAAAGTGTGTGACAGTGCTGGGAGACTACGTTGAAAAATTAAAAAAAAGTAAGCTTCTATCTGTATTAGAAGTCCTTATACCGAAAAATTCACCTTATTTATTGAATGACCCTCGTATTAACACTAAAATTAGAAGTTTTGAAGTATCGTGGTTAAAATTCAACTCAGTTTTGAAATGTTCTTATCTACGTAGTGGTTTATGTCTAAAAGCACATTTTTTTTATTTTCGTGAATCTAGGTGAAGGTGGGAGGACAAATATTATATTTAATCCCACTATTTTATTTAATATCCATGTTGATCAAAATTTGCCGGCGAAGCTCAAAATGGAAGAAAAAGAAACCAGTGTTACAATGACAGCTGGCTTGTTACATTCAATACCTCAAAAACCAAACTAGTTACACACCATCATCGCCGGCCGGACATCGAACTACCGCCAATCTCGATGAATGGATGCCCCCATCATCGGGAGGCTCCGTGCTTTAAGACACCATTGGGCTTTAAACTCACACCTGACGAAAAGTGGAACTTGTACATACGATCCATTGTAAAAGATGTAAGTAAAATGGCCGGCTTCTTGTACCACTCAAATAAGTATATGACACCGTATGCTATCCTCTATTTATACAAGAGCCAGATCAGGCCTAAAATTGAGTACTGTTTTCATATTTGGACGGGAGTTGACGAGTCCTCACGCTCCAGTTTCAATAGTGTCTAAAAGCATCTCAGAGTCCTTGAGGGTGACAAAATATTTTCCACCCTCCAACCCCCCTCTCACAGGAGGGATGTGGCAAGTTTCTTGTTGCTCTATTGCTACTTCCATGGAAAGTGCTCGGACGAACTACATTCTTTGCTTCCTCCAGGCCTAACCCCCCCCCCCACGGCAAGGATCCGCCATGCAACTCACACTGTAGCAAACCACCCCCATTCCACCCGTTCTATTTGTGAGAAGTAAATTCCATTTGAACAGCTTTTATACCAATCACCTATCTGTGGAACCTGGGCCTTGAACAGGATGAAGTTTACTATATAAAAATAATATACACTAATATGCTGTTCTGTGGATTTGATTGATTGATTTGGCTTTTTTTACGAATTATCAAAATTTTCAGGTTATTTTTTATTTTTATTTTTTTAAGCGTTTCACCCCAAGCAAAGCGGGAAGCCACTAGGACGCAAGGGGCTACAGAAAATTTGGAGCAAGATCAGATTGGAGAAATAGAAGAAAGGATGAGGAGAAGGTTCGTAGATAGATCAAGGCAACTGGAGATGTCGATTGACATTACATTTGAATAGCTGGAGAGTCTAGCTCTCAGGGAAACTGAAATAGGGAAGGGAGTTCCACAGGTGAGAAGTGCGAGACATGAAGCTATTGGAGTAGAAGAGACGGCTACATTCAGGAGTTTCGACAGTGAAAGGGTGAGAGCGGGATGCCAGCCTCGTAGGGCGCTTGAACTCATAAATTCTGGGGACCAGCGAATGCAGCTCCTCGGAGCAATTGCCATGAAAGTATTTGTAAAACAGACAGAGAGAGGCGACGGTGCGTCTGTGAGAAAGTAACTGTAGACGAGATGCCAGAGCAGGGCCAATTTTATTGCATATCCGCCTCTGAAGCCTATCAAGAACCCCGAGGCAAACAGAAGGGGCTCCAGACCATATATGGCAGCAATACTCCATGCAAAGACGAATTGTTGATTTGTAGATCTGGAGGATCGATTCCGGGGAGAAAAATTTCCTGGCACGACACAAAAGCCGGAAAATATTTTTAGATTGTCAGACTTTTGTGGGGTAATAATGATTTACTGATACAAGTTCGACTAATTAACCCATAGCTTGGGGGAGAAGAGGTGGATTCATACTTTTCCTACGTAAGGGAATACTCGAATATAGCAAACCTGAATGACTCGGTTATCCAATTAACAATTCCGAGCCGTTATCTATTACACCACCTGCACACCCAAACTTACAGCGCCTACCATTACCAAGTGATCACCCATTTAGGTACTGACGAGATTCGATGTTGCTTACCTTCGGTGATCGTACGAGAACCGGTGTTTCAACATGATATGGCCGTAAGCCTTCCGTGTGGATTTATTAAGAGAATTCAGAGCATCTTGAAGATACTTCAAAGCTGCCCAATTTAGAGGGATCATCAGAGAAAATATTGGTAAATTATTGGTAAAAGGGTAAGTACGATCAAAATAACCAGATCCGTGTGCACCCTAACTCCAAATAATATGCGACAGTTTCTACAGGTTATATATATATATATATATACTAACAGCATGGCCCGGCGTTGCCCGTGCTTGATTCAAAAATCGTACGACTCATACAGCAATCGCTATGACTTGACTTAAAATATTTTTGCCCTTCCTTGCCTTTAAAGGAGTGCCCTTTGCCGTGCTGATGTTGCTACATGCCTTACTTCTTGCCTATCTCACACTGCGGATTTTTTTTTAAGCTCTATACTAAACATTAAAAACTGTTACGAAAAAAAAAAAAACTAAACAAAATGAACACAAAACGATCAGTTTTAAAAAGGACTCGTAACTGGAAAAACTGAATGAAAAAAAGAATGTTAACAACAAATACTTTTTCACACCCAACCCAGTTCTGCGGAATCAGAATCAACGTTGAGTTTAATCAAGCGAATGAGTCAATTGGAGTAAAGTGGCATGCAGATTTAAATTTTTCCCACTTGTGACGAATGCAGCTATCGACTTTTTTGCATGTTAGCGTGCTAGTTAACATTCGTGTTAGTCAGCTGTTGGCTCTCACGCTGGCCAATATAATCTACCTGCCTATTCGTGGCAGCCAGCTATAGGCTCTCACTCTGGCCAGTACAAAATGGCCGCAAACTACATGAAAACTGCCGTAGAAGCATGAAAAAATCGATTATTTCCTCTATCGTTGGGAGTTGGGAAATGCAAAGTCGGTCTTGGGCTTCCTGCTAACTTGGAGCATGTGCATGTAAATTTTGGTGCAAATCCGTTGAAAATTGCGGCCGTGCATTCGTTACACAAACACACACACGCGCATCCTGCCTTTGATAGATAGAGATATACATGAAGAAATATAGTTTTAGGGTGTACTATATTTATGGGATAAAGTATTCAATATCAACCATAGGGCGTATGTAAATATAAATATAAAAGTGAACATTGAAGTCAACACTTAGAGGCAACATTTCAATGTTCTTATATTATATATATATATATATATATATATATATATATATATATATATATATGTATATATACCCATTTTGACCCATTCGAATAAAGGATTCATTTTTTCTTTCTCTACCCTATCCCTTCAAGGCGTGGACAATCATCTCTCCACAATTTCCTATCCATAGCAGCCCTTAGTAAGTTTGTCGTTTCACTGTTCCTCCCACCTTTTGTTCTGTCACCCATTTGCACGTTCAGTACGTTACTCGTTGTTTACGTCTCTCTTGCCTTCAATATGTCTTGTGAGTGTCCACATCTCCAAACTGTCTTTCCTCATTTTTTTGTCCTAGAAATGTCGACTGCCTCTTTGTCGTCTTTGCTTACAACCATAACACGTTGAAACACGTGTTCTCGTCTGATTAGTGAAGTTAAGCAACGTCGAGCCTGTTCAGTACACAGATGGGTGACCACTGAGGAATACTAGGTTCTGTAAGTTACGTGACAGGCCTAGCAAGCTGACAATGGCTACAGTCTCGTTATTTATACTAACGGAAGGCCGATATTCAATGGTGATTCTGGACTGACAGACCACCTGGAGTTTGGTGAGTAGTGAGTTTTTCTGGTTCTAAGTATGTTTCCTTTTGTTTTCATTCTTCTAAAAGTGTTTAATTGAATTAATGGCTTTTGGAAAGGCATGAATTTCCTTTCTTGAACAAGTCAGGCTGGAGATATTAAAAATAATTCAGCTTATTCTTTCTTTCACTTTGAGCAAGTGTCTGTTCGATTTAATCACTAAACAAAATTCTAGGCTTAAAGGACTTTAAAGAATTAAGACCTTCTCGTCAATGCTTAAAGCATACAAGGGACCTTCAAAATTATTGTTTTTACCACTTGAACTACGACACTCAGCTCTAGAGATACCCAGATGTTGTTTACCACCGTTGATTGGCTCCAACTGTGACACGCGGGAAGGCATTTGATGAGCACCAAGATGGCCGCTGACCGCCTGATATCGCCTAAAGGGTTGGCAAGGATTGAGGAACAAGAGTAAGTCTATTCGTTTTAAATGGAGGAGAAAGCTTTATGATTTAAAACTGTTGGAGTCCTATCAAGAAGATGCTTCAGGCTTGAAGGATACTTTGGAAATTGGTTGCAATGTTATTGATTAATTACCTTATTGGACAACAACTTCACTGATGATGAGGAGGAGGACGAAGAGAAGGGGAGGTAATCAGGTACATTTTTGATATGGTCAAAGTCTTTTATGTTAACGAAGACTGTGTTAATAGGGAGAGGCCGGGTGAAGAAAGAAAAAAGATAGAATCAATATAGGACGGAATATGTTAAAAGAATGTAAAAATAAAAGGGAAAAGAGGGGACAGAGGAAAAGTAAGAGAGACAGATATATATATATATATATATATATATATATATATATATATATATATATATATAAACAGGAGTGTGAAAGAAAGAAAGAAAGAAAAAAAGAAAGAAAGAAAAATAAAAAGGAATAAAGAAAGAAAGAAAGAAAGAAAATTAAAAAGGAATAAAGAAAGAAAGAAAGAAAGAAAGAAAGAAAGGAAGAAAATTAAAAAGAAAGAAAGAAAGAAAGAAAGAAAGAAAGAAAGAAAGAAAGAAAATTAAAAAGGAATAAAGAAAGAGAGAAAAATAAAAAAGGAATGTTGATTGATTCATTCTTTTTCTACGGTTTATCAAACATTTTTAGATTATTTAAAGCCAGAAAATGTTTTTAGATTGTAAGATTTTTAGTTAATAATTGTTTAGAGGTACATGGCTTACTCATTAACCCATCGATAGGGGGGGAAAGGTGAAGTCAAACTTTTACCCAGTGTATTTGCGCGTAAGTGAATATAACGAACCCAATGCAAATTTGGAACTCGGATCTCCAATTTACAAATCCGAGCCATTTTCCATTACACCACCCGCTCATCTAAACTGTCAATATTTGGTATTCCGAAACAATCACCTATCTACGTACTGACCAAGCTCGATGTTGTTTAGCTACAGTGATCGTACGGGAACCAGTGTTTCAACATGATGCGGCCGTAAGCCAGAAAGGAGGTAGCTAAGAAGGTAGAAAGAGAAAGAAGAAAAAATCAAAAAGAAAGAAAAGCGAAGAAGAAATATAAGCGGGGGTGGGAAGGAAGAAGTGAAAGAGAAAGAAAGATTGAACAACAAAAATGGATTAGCAAAAAAGAGAGAAAAGGAAAACGAAAGGGAGAAAGCAAATATGAGGAAGGGAAAGAAAATACAATTCAGAATAAATCAGAAAAAGAAATATAAGAAACACAAGAAGGAATGCAGAAAATAAGCATGTAAACGCGAAAAGAAAGAAAAAAAGAAAGGATAAAGAAAAAATAAGGAAAGAAAGAAGGAAAGAAAAGATAAAGAAAAAAAGAAAAGAAAGAATTAAAGCATAAATAAAAAAAGAAGAAAAGAAAGAAGGAAAGAAAGAATTAAAGGATAAATAAAAAAAGAAGGAAAGGATAAAGAAAGAGAAGGAAAGAAAGAAGGAAAGAAAAGATAAAGAAAAAAGAAGGAAAGAAAAAGGGATAAATAAAAAGAAGGAAAGAAAGAAGTAAAGAAAGGATAAAGAAAAGAAGGATAGAAAGAAAGAAAAGATAAAGAAAAAAGAAGGAAAGAAACGATAAAGAAAGAGAAGGAAAGAAAGAAAGAAATAAAGAAAAGAAAAGAAAAGAAAAAAGAAGGAGAGAATTAAAGGATAAAAAAATAGAGGGAAAGAAAGGATAAATAAAAAAAGAAGGAAAGAAAGAATGAAAGAAAGAAAAATTAAATATATATATATATATATATATATATATATATATATATATATATATATATATATATATATATATATATATATATATATATATATATATGTGTGTGTTTAATTTAAACATTATATATATATAATATTTAAATATAATATATATATATATATATATATATATATATATATATATATATATATATATGTACGTACGTATGTGTGAATGATATTTAGAGAAATGATTTGAAACAGATGTGGCCGAGAATGTCCTACAGCTGCAGATGATCAATTGAAGACACAAGGAAAATTCCTAAATTAAATTAAATAAATGAAATATTTAAATAAGTGATAGACAATTTTGTGAAATAGATAAATTACATTATAAATACATAAATGTAAATAAGAAAAATAAAGTTTAAAAATGTTAAAACAAATGATTTTAAATCAATGAAAAAATAAATCGATAATAAATCGATAATTATAAATAATGAATAATTGATAAATAATAAAATAAAAAATAAATATATTGGAAATATATAAATTAAATAATTAAAATAAATAAAAATAAGTGACATAAAATAGATTACAGAGGATATGAATTGATCTGTATTCTTGATGCTTTTTTGGGTAAGCGTATAGATATTGTAAGCTGTCAGATTTGGGGGGTTTAGGGTAAACCTGAAGAGAGAAGCTGGGTTTAGATTTAATAAACCTTTCTTTATTATTATTAATCATTATTTCCTTGACAATTTATTTAAATTTATGCCTTACTCCATTGACACATGGTTTCTGTATTGACCCCAGTGCAATTATAATTTGTAGAGTATTCATTGAACTGATGTTATAGTCAATGTCTGTGTAGGTAAGCCGAAAGATACAAACTTTCCTCATTTTGTGACCCAGAACATTTAACTCTTTCTGATTTTAAATGTCCTTCTAGCTTGTATTTTCCTTTAGCCTTCTTTATTGCTTCCTTGTCCAGCACATGGTATTCCCAACATGCGTCTGTAGAACCATCTCTCTGTCTTTAGTTCCTTTCTTTGTAGCTTCGTTTCCTTTCTTCATATGTGAGGAGATCGTCCAACATGCCACAAACAATGCATTCATTGTTAAATAAAGAGGCGATCGTCCAATGTTCCCTGCTCTGTTAAATAGGACGCAGCAGTTCAGCACTTTTTTTCTTTACTTCTCTTGATATTTTCTTGTATCTAAATACTTTGATTAGATTCTAAAAGACATCTTTCCATTATTCGTATGCGCCTTTGTCCTTCTCTGTCACACTTCCCATCGTCTCTTATTCAACTAACCAGATCGTAAAATTTCTATGGCCATTTGTTCCCTTTACGAAGATCATACCTTGGGGTTCCTTTTTTTACTAACAACCATGCATTCTGTCTTCTTACTGTTATGGGTGATGGCGCCTTAAAACGGAAGTTAGAGATGAATCTGACTATTCGCACACGGAGATATTCAGAAGAGATAGTGAGCAACATTGTTCTGTATGTCGTATATCTTCTTTTTCTTTGTTTCTTTCCTTCTTTCTTTCCTTCTTTTTTCTTTATCTTTTAATTCTCTCCTTCTTTTTTTTCTCTTTTCTTTCCTTCTTTCTTTCTTTATCTTTTCTTTCTTTCTATCCTTCTTTTTTCTTTATCCTTTCTTTCCTTCTTTCTATCCTTCTTTTTTCTTTATCCTTTCTTTCCTTCTTTATTTCCTTCTTTTTATTTATCACTTTGTCTTTCCTTCTTTTTTCTTTATCTTTTCTTTCCTTCTTACTTTCTTCTTTTATCTTTATCCTTTAATTATTTCCGTCTTTTTTCTTTATCTTTTCTTTCATTTTTTCTTTCCTTCTTTCTTTCCTTCTCTTTCTTTATCCTTTCCTTCTTTCTTTCCTTCTATTTTCTTTATCCTTTAATTCTCTCCTTCTTTTTTCATTATCTTTTTCTTTTTCTGTCTTTCTTTCGTATAATAATATAAATATATATATATATATATATATATATATATATATATATATATATTTATATACAGGTTTTTTCACACACACACACACACATATATATATATATACAATATATATATTTATATATATATATATATATATATATACAATATATATAAAATATATATATATATATATATATATATATATATATATATATATATATATATATATATATATATCCAATATATATATATCCAATATATATATATATATATATATATATATATCATTAATTTAAACATTATATATATGTATATATATAATGTTTAAATTCTGGATATATATATATATATATATATATATATATTAATTTAGACATTTTTTATATATATATATATATATATATATATATATATATATATATATATATATATATATATATATAATGTTTAACTTATATTTTAAAATGAAATTTTGTACTTTCTATGAATATTTTTCTAATTGACTATTTCATTGAAAATCTCCAAAATTTAAAAAAAAAATTTAAATCTCTAACAAATATCAAATTAAATTATTTGTAGACAGTCTAGAGTCATTCAAATTTGTATCAAACATTATTCTTTCTGAACCCCCAAAATAACACTTTCAAAGTAAACCAAAATAAGAGCGTCTGTTTCTAGCCTTTTTTTTGCAAAGAAAATTAGTGACATCTTCTCTTCTCTTCTCTCTTAACTTCCTTCTCTCTTTTTCTCT